CCGCGCCCACCCTCGCGCTGCCCCAGCCGCGCCCTCGGTCGGGTCCCCGGCGGGAGGCGTCTTCGCGTCTGTGCTGGACGCGGCTCTCTCCAGAGTCTCATCCCCTTGGAGAGAGGCTCAGGGGACACCGCGAGTGACCAGCGAGGCCCAGAGGACTGTCCGCCCGGCTCGCAAAGGGGTGAACCGCGGCTGGCCCACCCCCACCAGCCACGCGCCCTGCTGGGTCCTGGGGCAGCGCCCTCCGAGCAGCCACCTGACCACTGACAGCCGGCTCGAGGCCCTTGTGGGACCTGGGCCTGCCAGCCCTGGACTCCATGCGCTCTCCCCAGAGGCCCCCCAGAGCGGGGGGGCACTGTCTGTGCTGACCTCGCGGCCAGGGGCCAGGCGCCTGCACTGGCTGGTTTTGTTGCGGGTCTGGGTGTCCGGAGTTACCCGGGGCACACGGATGGGGCCCCTTCCTTCCACCCAGAAGGGCGAGCATGGGGACGGGCCGTGCAGGAGGGCTCACCTCGGCCCTCCGAAGTCAGCGGTCTCGCGGGGTGAGTCGGCCTGGCCGGCGAGGCCACCTGACCGCTCTCACAGTGGACTTGTGTGGACATTCTGGTGAAGCCCTGTGTCCACACATGCAGCTAAACACAGTCCCCTCGGCCTGAGGCTGTCTGGCAAGGAGCCCCGCGCAAATGACCGCGTCTCCTGCAGAACCACACGGCAAATGTCCACCTGTGCAGACCTCTGACCCCGGCTCCACGTCTGGAGTGGCCTCCTGCTCGCCCAGGTCGGGAGCCCAGGCAGGGCACGAGGGGGGATCTCCGCTGGGGGTAGACAGCCCAGCGCCACCAAGTGGACTCTCAGGGCATGTCCAGGACTGGCGGGACCTGGAGGGAGGTGCAGTGGCCACTGTCCAGGCAGCGGGGACTGCGCTGTCTCTACTTCTGCGGAAAATGTCCCTAATAAAAAGTCAGAATAAATAAGCACTGGCTCTGGAGCCAGCGAGGGCAGGGCGCCTTCCCCCGCCCCACCTGCTCCTCTCAGAACTGGGGCTGACCAGTAGCCAGCAGTGCCCGCCACGGCGGCCGTGGCTGCACAAGGGCTGATCAGTGGCTGCCGATGACCACATGTGCCAGCTCTGCCACCTGGCCAGGCTCCGGCCCTGCTCCCGCCTGCCTGTCACCTGGAGGAGACTCCCGGCAGGGCCTGTGTCTGGCCAGGACGGCCCCAGCACAGGTGGCCCTATCTGGCCAGCTGTGGACACCACAGCCTGGCTCTGCTGTCCACCAGTGACAGGGCCGCCCCAGATTCAAGCAGGGGTGTGGAAGGGGGGTGGAAGCTTCTGGAAGCTGTGGAGGTAGGAAGGTTCTAGGACACATTCCAGGTCCCACTGTCTGGACCCCTAAGGCTGGACAGTGGCTGCTGTTTTTTTCCCCCAACACAGCCTTGCGCCCCCCACCCCCGCACCTGTCACCTGCTGAGAGGCCCAGAGGCCCATGACATCATTCTAGATGGTGCCAGCTGCAGTGCTTTATTTCATCTGCTTTGCAACCTGGGCGCCTTGCTGCAGCGACCAGGTCTGAGGGGCAGCGGTGCCCGTGCCCAGCCCTCTGCAGACCCAGAGCCCAAACTCAGGGCGCCTGCTCACAGCCGGAAGTGGCCCCCCAGGCTGTTCTGCCCCTGGTGCGCGGCGGCGGCCTCGGCTGGGGGGGCCTGCTGAGTCTGAGCTCTGGTCAGTGCCTGCCTCCCTGTGCCTGGGCCACTGGTGACGCTTTCAGGGCCTGGGGCTGCTGGCCAGGGTCTCAGGGGCCTCGGACCCACAGGCCCCGCCCCACCGCCGCCCCAGTGCCCTTCCTGCGCCTCGGTCACAGGGACAGCTTCAGCTGAGGGCCCAGGGCCCCTCCCCCGCACCCTCCACGGGGCCAGACGCCCCTGAAAGCTCGCGGAAGTCAGTGCGACTGCAAGAGGTGCTGAAACCGGGGGTGGGCGCGGCCTGGGGCCCGCGGGACTGGACTGCACGAGGGTCTCTCCCGGGCCGGCCCGCTGGGGGTGGGGGATCCGGAG